TGATATACTTTTGTACAGTGTAGGTGTTGAACTGCCTAGAAGGAGAATGCGAATGAATGCGTCTTTTTTAGCTATCCATATGATTACATTCACACTGCTTATTTTGCGCCCATAAGCAGATCTGACATAGGACCTGTTTCGTTTGAGGGGACGATCAACTGGTAGCTTAATTTGTCCACAACGCTTCCATTGAAAACCTATTTATAAACGGAAAAATGAATATATCACAGTTTGTTTATGTCTGAGGTCACAGTAACTTGACCAGACGTTTGTCCGTCATTGCGTAATAGAAGAGACGATTAAAAAGTTGATGAACAAACCTTGCCGACAGAGACCAGATTTATATTACCTGACGATATCACCGTTGTTTTGGTACATTTGATTAAGTCAAAATGCACACACGCGGAGACAAGCACAGCTTTAGTCAGTGGATGCCTGTCAAGTGGCATACGAGACCCCTTCTGGTGGGATCAACCTGAGAATCTCTTTACTACCTACATTCTCCCTAAGGTAGACGCGAGCCCAACATACATTTCATTGCCAAAAAATTATCAGTTCTCAGCATTTATTGGTCACATACAACCGTGTGCTTGGCTTTAGTAGAGTAATTTATTTACGTGGTAACATAAACCATTGATTGCTATACTATATTTTCTGTGTTTATATGGGCCATAAAGTATCATGCTTTTGCGTTTCACACACAGAAGTATGATATCAATATAAAATACATCTGCTAAAGATTTAGGTCCCCCCCCCCACGAGGGTGTAGACGGTAAACTTGATGAAAGCAGTTGAATCGTATTTGAAACAGGTAAAATAAGTGGTAGGACAAGTTTGCCTCACGGCTGTTTATGGTGGGATCTAAAATAAACGAGGCCGAAAGTATGCTTTACCTCTGGACGAGAGGAGGCTCGGTAGATAGACCTTTTCAGAATACCATATTATCTGACATGGGGCAACTGGTAGGGTTTAAATAGCATAACCCAATGGAGCCTCGTGATTCTCGCAAGAACGGGGTTCTTGTGACAAATCTTCCGCCTCAGGAAGACACGATTTTTGCCGTTGTTAGCCAAAACCCATGTGAAGGAAAGACGAGTCTTTTGTCTCTCCGTCAACACGATCTTCAGGAAGTAGGCCTCTTTTGAGTGTGTGGTTGCTGCTCCGTACCCTCTCGACTCATCTGCCTTGTCCCGGTTGGACTCAGGCCCAGGACGCCGATTTGTCGTCGACGGAGTGTCAGAAGTCAGCAAAGGGAAGAGCACAAGTTCACCTCCGAAACGGATGTGAGAGTCAAGGGGGCATGCACTCATTCCCGACAATGAGCACTGGGATCGAGTCCCTCAAGTGAGGTGGCC